GTGTGTGTGTGTGTGTGTGTGTGTGTGTGTGTGTGTGTGTGTGTGTGGAAGAGAGAGAGAGAGAGAGAGAGAGAGAGAGAGGGAGGGAGACCCTCTCCCCTCCTTGGCCCTTACCACCTGCAGCAGTAGTCCCTGAGGTGAGGAGAACAGGTGGGCTGGCCCTGCCTCTTCACTGGCTATAGCACTCAGGAGAGCAGTTCCTGCATCTCATCGAGGCAGCACAGTAGAACTGGCCCTGATGGAGGCCCTGGTGGCACAGGTAAGGAGACCCTAAGGGTGACAGCAATAGAGCTGGCCCAGACACTCATCTGGCATGAAGAGGTGAGTGGATTCAGGGGTAACACACTTCCCCTCCTTCTTCACCACCTTCAGTAGCCGAGAAGAGTTCAGTTCCCTCACTGGCTATAGCACATGGGACAGCGGGCTCTGTACCTTGCCTGGGTAGCACAGTGGGGCTGGTCCTAATGGCCAAGTCCCCAGTGAGCCAGCCCTGAGGGTATAAGAGCAGGAGAGCTGGCCCAGCCCCTCACAAGCTGCAGCACTTGAAAGAGTAGGTCTGCACCTTAACTGGACAGCACAGTGGAGCTGGCTCAGGAGGCATGGGTGCAGGTAAGCCACCCTGAGGATATGAGAACAGGAGAGATGACCCTGCCTCCTGCTGATGGTGACACTGGGTAACCTAGCCACAGCACTGCTGGAGAGCTCGCCCTGGTGGTGCTGATAAGGCAGAGCCAGCAAGCTGACAAGCTCAGTTACCAACCAGGCCCAGATCCACAGCTCTGAATGGGCCCATCCCAAAATCTGTATCATCTGTGAATGGTTGGGACACATGAAAGGGACAGTCCTGCTGTTCCAAAGCTGCAGGATCTCCATGACACAGCACAACAGCAAGTAACTGGGAGAGTCTGGATGCAGATCCAATATTGATGGTATCATAGAAGCCAGAGCACTTGAACCAGACCAATGACTCATTGAAATGAACAAATATACTCAAAATACTCAATGAAAAAAATACTCAATAAAATTCTTGCAAATCAAATCCAAGAACCCATCAAAACAATAATTCACTATGATCAAGTAGGCTTCATCCCAGGGACGCAGGGATGGTTCAATATACAGAAATCCATCAATGTAATCCACTACATAAACAAACTCAAAGAAAAAAACACTTGATCATCTCATTAGAAAATGCTGAAAAAAGCATTTGACAAAAAACAACACCCCTTCATATTAAAAGTCTTGGAAAGATCAGAAATTCAAGGCACATACCTAAACATAATAAAAGAAATATACAGCAAACCAATAGCCAACCTCAAATTAAATGGAGAGAAACCTGTAGAAATCCCACTAAAATCAGGGACAAGGCTGCCCATTCTCTCAATATTTATTTATTCAATATAGTACTCTAAGTTCTAGCTAGAGCAATTAGACAACAAAAGGAGATCAAAGGGATGGATACAAATTGGAAAGGAGGAAGTCAAGATATCATTATTTGCAGATATGATAGTATATTTAAGTGACCCAAAAAAATCCACCACAGAACTCCTAAACCTGATAAACAACTTCAGCAAAGTTGCTGGATATAAAATTAATTCAAACAAATCAGTAGCCTTCCTCTTCTCAAAGGATAAATGGGCTGAGAAAGAAATTAGGGAAATGACACCCTCCACAATAGTCACAAATAATATAAAATACCTTGGTGTGAATCTAACCAAGCAAGTGAACAATCTGTATGACAAGAACTTCAAATCTCTGAAGAAAGAAATTGAAGAAGACCTCAGAAGATGCCAAGATCTCCCATGCTATGGATTAGCAGGATTAACATAATAAAAATGGCCATCTTACCAAAAAGCAATCTACAGGTTCAATGCAATCTCCATCAAAATTTCAACTCAATTCTTCACAGAGATAGAAAGAGCAATTCTCAAATTCATCTGGAATAACAAAAAACCCAGGATAGCAAAAATAATTCTCAACAATAAAGGGACTTCTGAGGGAATCACCATCCCTGACCTCAAGCTGTACTACAGTGCAACCGTGATAAAAAAAAAAAATCCCACATGGTATTGGTAGGCACAAAAAGGTCTGTCAGTGGAATAGAACTGAAGACCCAGAAATAAACCCACAAACCTAAAGTCACTTGATCTTTGACAAAGAAGTCAAAACCATCCAGTGGAAAAAAGATTTTTAACAAATGGTTCTGGTTCAACTTGAGGTCGACAGGTAGAAGAATGCAAATCGATCCATTCTTATCTCCTTGTACAAAGCTCAAGTCCAAGTGGATCAAGGACCTCCACATGAAACCAGATACACTGAATCTAATAGAATAGAAAGTGGGAAAGAGCCTGAAACACATCGGCACAGGAAAAAATTTCCTGAACAGAACACCAATGGCTCTGGCTGTAAGACCAACAATTGACAAATGGAACTTCATAAAATTGAAAAGTTTCTGTAAGGCAAAGGATACTGTCAATAGGACAAAATGGCAACCCACAGATTGGGAAAAGATCTTTACCAACCCTATATCTGATAGAGGGTTAATATCTAAAATATACAAAGAACTCAAGAAGTTAGACTCCAGAGAACAAATAACCCTATTAAAAATGGGGTACAGAGCTAAACAAAGAATTCTCAACTGAGGAATCTCGAATGGCCAAGAAGCACCTAAAAAAATGTTCAACATCCTTAGTTATAAGGGAAATGCAAATCAAATGATCCTGAGATTCTACCTCACATCGATCAGAATGGCTAAGATCAAAAACTCAGGTGAGAGCAAATACTGGCAAGGATGTGGAGAAAGAAGAACACTTCACCATTGCTGGTAGGATTGCAAGCTGATACGACCACTAGGGAAATCAATCTGCAGTTTCTCAAAAAATTGGAAATCATTCTATTTGAAGTCACAGCTATACTATAAATCCTGGCCTTTGATCTCAGTACTTGGGAGACAAACACAGGGACAGATATGTTCTTTGTGGGTTCAAAGCCAGCTTAACCTACAGAGCAAATCCAAGTTAGCCCAGGCTATACAAAAAACCCTGTGTCAATAAATAAAAATTGTTTTAAATTGTTTTGATTATTTTAAATTATCAAAATGAAAGTGGTTATAAATTTTATGGTTGTGACGTTTTACAAATCCTCTATGAGAGAGGTCAAAATAGAGCACACCTAAATAAAAAGGGGGCTGTTAAATTAAATCGACCTATACTTTTGATTACTTTGGGCTGCTGGACCAAGGACATGCTATTTTGGGAGAACAGTTCTAAGTCTGTTGACAGGAAAGAAGAAAAGGTTTTGAAGTTCTTCCAAAGTAACAAGGCTGAGATTTTACAGAAGAAGACACTCCTGAAGATCTTTACTGCTGCCTGGTGTTTGCCCTTTTAGGTAGAATTTATTTAGAAGTCTGACTCAAGTTAAAAAATATTTTTTAAAAAAAACTCTAAAACATCTTTTCATGTCTTTCCATATTTTTATTTCTGATATATTAAATCCTCAGATAGCTAAATTTTAAAGGCTTCTTTTCATAGCAAAAGCTAGATGAAAGTGGGAACATATGCCAATTTGGAAAATAATTTAATAAACATGCTACAGATGTTTAAATGATTCAACTTCATTATCTACTGTTTACTATAACGCAAGACAAATGAGGTATAAAGAAAGGTTAAAAGGTATCTCTAGTTTTCCAATGAAAATTTTAAAAAGAGGGACAAATATCAAGTACCTCATTTATCTTTCACAGCCTAACTTTAAAACAAACAAATGGCTAACTCAGTATCTTATGACAATCTTTAGAAGACATATCCACTAACTCAGAAGTATCTAAGGCAACTGCACCCAAATTGGTGGTCTTCAGAAATTACCTCAGAGACGCTAACACAGAATGTGTCTAGGTTCTACCCAGTACAGATCTGGTAATCTATATTTTTAAAAAGCTACTCTAAGAACTATGGTAATAAATGAGTCAAAGTCATACTCTTTTTAAGGTACAAGTGGGAGCCCGGGAAAAAGTTGCATAGTAAATGCTTATAAAAATAAATAGGAATTTTTTTGTAAGGGCTAGGAACATAATTTACTGCAAAGTACTTGACTAGAGGGTAAAGGTTCAATCTCCAGAACCACAAGGGAAAAGATACATACATATGTTACATACACACATATATTATTACATACACACATATATTACATATATTACATACACACATATATTACATATATTACATACACACATATATTACATACAGACATATAGACTTCTCATTTCAGTTATAGAAGCTAGATAAAAAGTTATTTTTTTCTTAACTTAGAAATCACAAAAGGAAATGTTAAACAAAGTATTAAAAGCCAAATGTAGCTATTTCAGTTTCAAGGAAGAATACCTAGCACTGAATTTCCTCTTTTTATCAAAAATAATTCGTAAAATAAACTTTCCTAGCTGTGGTATTAAATATACCTTCAGTCACCATTGGAACTCCTGCCATTCCTGCTACTGAAACAGAGACTAAAGAGATGGCTCAGTCACTAAGTGCTTGACCTGCAAGCATGAGAGCCTGATTTCTACCCACAGCATCCTCATAAAAGCCTGGTGCAGTTGTTTGTACCTGTAAGAGCAGTGCTGGAGAGGCAGAAACAGGAAGATCCCTGAGGCTTTTTGGCCAGTCAGCCTATCAGAATTAATTAACTCCAGATTCACAAAAGATCTTACCTCAAAAAATATGGTGGCAAAGGACTAAAATAAATACCAGATATCATATAAACCCTCACATACAAATGCACGTGCATCCCTTTACACACACGCACGCACGCATGCACACACGCACGAGTTAGGTATAGTGGCTCCTGTCTGTAGTCTCAGCACTTAAGAGACAAAGGCAGCCTTCCTACCAAGATAGATCTCATTAACTGTAAAGGAGAATAAATCCTTCCCTTCTTAAATTGCTTGACAGTATTTTGCCCCAGCAAAGAACAGTAGAACAGTCTCACTGTTCTTTGAAAACAAAAATTCCCTGTGGTGAGCAACCTTTGGAACTGTTAACACTCCATTAACAGTTCATTAGGCAAAATAGTGCCATAAGAGACCTAGGTTGACCATCTAGGAAGAACAAAAGAAACAAACAAACAAAAAAGTCCCCTCCTCTTCAAATGGCAGAGAAGTCTTTCAGAAAGCTAAAGATAGTCCCCCAATCCCCAGGGAAAAAGGCCCTAATAAAAATCCAGACTGCAGAAACCTCCATCCAGGATTCATTCTCTAGCTTGTTGGTTATTTGTGCCTGGACAACACACTTTTGCCCTGCTCAAGTTTTTCTAATAAACCTCTGTTTGCTTTTAAAAAAGAAAAGTAGGCAGAAGCCTGCTCTAAATTCAAGGCCAGTCTGAGCTATGTAGTGAGTCACAGATAAGCCTATACTACAAAGATCCTGTCTTGCAAAACAAACAGGAAAAAGTATGTATCTTCACTTCCATTCCTTAAGACTTTACAGGTAGGTATCCCTAGCTGGCCAGAGTGCTAACTAATATGTGGCTTCTCCTAATAGTTTTTGCACTAAGGAGAAACAAATAACTGTTTATACACAAATATGTACTAACACACATAAAACAACAAAAGGCTTTTAATATTGTGTATCTCAAATTATACTACAAAGATTGATATTTCTTCACAAATTTTAAAATGAGCTCTGACACAAAATAGAAATGAAAATCCTAATCAGTATATCTTATTTCTAACTTTAACTTTATCCTTTAACTTTCTTGTCTCCACTGAAAAAGATAACTGGAAAAAGAGAGAAAAAGAAAATATTTTAAATCCCCCTCCTAAAACAAATGACCTTCATCAAATTTACAACGAAATTAAATGATTGTTTTAAAAACGTATAGTAACCAAACAAAAAAAAGAGAACCAAAATATGAGTAGACAAAAAAAAAACTTGTAATTAGTAATATGCCATAGATAGCAGTTCCAGCTTTTGATAGGTATATGTTCAAACCACACCGGCATACCTGTAACATTAGGTCCTCACTAAGAGCAGGCAACACCTTATTTTTATTATTTTGCTCTTGTGAGTCCTTTCTGAGTTTGAGTCCAAGCTGAATCACAGGAGAATGCATGCCTGTAATGAAATATAATTAATCAATATCTCTCAATAGTTTTATTATTCTACTTTTAGAAGAATTCAAGAATTTTATAAATACTATAAAATGTCACTAAAAATTATTTGACAGGAGACTAACATTATATATTATTAAATGGTAGGGTATATGCTTAGCATACATGAAGCCTGGGTTCAAATCCTAGCACAGTCCAAAAAATTATACATCATATTTCCTTAACTGTCACTTTTATATGTCAATATTTTTAAATTATTACATAGTAGGAGGTAATGCTGCATTGAACAAAACAATGTTTGACATTTCTTGGCCTCAGGATGAAGGAATACAATGAGTATGTGTAAGCAATTTTTATACACTGGTGCTGGGGATATGTCTTAGTAGCTGGATATTTGTCATTTTGTTAAAGCAGCCCTAGCTACAACACACCTTGTCATTCAAAATCAGTTGCCTCAGAAGTAACTCTATGATTTCTTCAAAATACACTACGAGCTTAGGATATGAATGTACTAAAGGCACAGAAAGTCACACAGATGAATGGCAGTGAAAAACAGGCACTTACATAGAAATTTACATTTAAATGTATATAGAACTTAATGTGCCATGGCCCAGCAAGACAGCTTAGTGGGTAAAGCTGCATCCTGCCAAGCCTGAACCTTAAGTTCAATCCCTAGAACACACATGGTAGAAGGAACGGACCAACTCCTACAAGTCATCCTCTGGCCAATACACACACACTGTGTGGCACATGCCTTCCACATACACACACAAATAAATAAACAACTTATATTAGTTTACTATAACCATAGTGTTTTAAACAGAATAAAATGGAATATTCAATAAATTATATTAAGACAATGAATTTACTTGAAAAAATAAATTAAACACTGACAATATCTAGTAAAAGGTTTTCTCACCTTTCTGCATCCCATTTATACCAGAATGAAAACAGAACTCAGATCTAAAAGTTGGGTCTTGATTCAAGAGCAACCTTTTGAATGCAAAAAAAGAAAGCAGTTTAATTACATATTTCAATAATAGAGTAACATTTTAAGTGTTGTTTTTATAATTTAAATTGCTAAAATTCTCTTATACTACTATAAATATTAATATTTCAAAACACTATTTAAGAAACATATACTTTAATACAGAATTTATCCAAGAAGAAAAATGTCCACCTAGTCATATTCATTTTTTCAAATATTTTGTCATTATGTTTGATTTAGGGGACAAGGGATAGATAGTAACAGTACTTGATTGTCTTAGGATTGTCCTAGCTATTGCTGTGATAAAATACCACAATCAAGTGTAACTTTTGCAAGAAAAGATTTATTTCATCATCAAAGGAAATCAGGGCAGGAACCTCAAGATAGGAACCAAAGCAAAGACCATGGAGGAGTGCCGCTTACTAGCTTGCTGTCCATGGCTCAGCCTGCTTTCTTATACTGTTAAGGACTACATGCCCAGAGGTGGTGCTGCACACAGCGGGCTTGACCCTCCTACAGTCTTCTAAGGGTGCACATTAATACCCACAAGCACATATGCAAATGTTTAAGAGGTGCCATTCCAAACAGTGAGCACAAAAATGCGAGTTTTGAAAAAAAAAACAACTAGGGTCAAGGAGGAAATATGAAGGACTCTTATTACTGTGACTGAATGAAAGTCTTCTAAATTATGAGACAAACTTCAAAATTTCAGTTATCAAAATCACAGCTGTATGCTGTGGCTCATGCCTATAATCTCAGCACTTGGGACACTAACACTGGAGGAGTCATGAGAATTCGAGGCTAACCTGGGCTATATACAGTGAGCTACAGGCCAGCCTGGAATAAGATTCTTAAAACACCAAAATCACACACACACACATACACACACACGCACATGCACACATTCCATTGATGCAGTATTTTAATAATGAAATATTATTAAATAGATTATTATTATATTAGAATATTATTAAATATCTAGAATATATTTAGAATATTATTATATTTCTAATATTAAAAATATGAAACACTGAAAAGCATTAGCCATTAAAAAAGGAGGGTAATTAACAGACTGAACTGAAAGGAAATTTTTCAGGTTACAATCTGATTGAAGATTTGAAGCAATTTTCACTGGCTATTAAAAGTATACTGAATTTTTAACAATGGAGTTTCAATTTTATGTGTATCAGACGCTAGCAAACAAGTCCTAACATCATGCTGAGAAAATCTAATTAAAACATGCTTTCAACATAGTGGTCAAAAAACAGTATTTAACAACATTGGGCCTTCATCAGTAGTAGAATCTCTGTTGTGGGACAGCTCTTGACCCAAACTGTTACTTTCATATGCTAATTTAATGTGACTATTTAAGTCTTTGTCTCTTAGGCTTGGTTTTTTTGCCAAGTTATTTTACAACCACATAAATACAGTGCTAGTGTGTTCTTGAGGGACAGACTCAACCTATCTTTCAGGCTAATTAAGTCCAGGCAGCCATTCATTGTATGTGATTCTAGCACTAGAGAGGCTAAAACAAAAAGACCTTGAGCTCAAAGCCAGCCTATGATAAATAGAAAGTCTTTGTTTTTTAAAAGGGACCTAAAGATACAGTATGAAAAATTAGATAGTCTGATTGCCCAAGAGAAAACCAAAACAAAAACTAAATATTTCAGGGATTTGAAATACCAAATGTCAAGATCTAAAAAGCACATCAAAAAGGAGGTGAGGGAGAAATTGGGGCTGGCAAGATGGTTCAGAAACCAATAAACGCACCAGCTACCAAGAGTACTTGGCAGAGATTCCTCAAACTTGCACTATCATCTCCATCCCCACTAGTACTTCCTGGTCTTTTTCTCATCATCTCAGTCTGGAACTGATCCTAAACCTAAGCTCTCCTTGGAAACAGGAATCCTTGCTTCATTAGTAAGTTTTAAGTGGAAACTTGTTATACTTATAGAATCTTAACCCCTTCCCACCTCAACTCCTGAACTACAATCCACAATTTAACAGGATCCAGGTGACTCAAAAACATATATATATAAATGCCCTAGTCTAAAACATGCAGAGTAAATAGAAATCTGATCAGAATACTCCTCCACTTAAAATAGCTTAAGTACCTGGCAGCGGTGCCACAGGCAAGCTTTTAATCCGAGCACTCAGGAGGCAGAGGCAGGCAGAGTTTGAGGGCAACCTGGTCTACAGAGTTCCATGACAGCCAGAGCAACAGAGAGAACTCGAGTCAAAACAAAACAAAACAAGAGAGCGGCATCAATATACTACCAAGGTCTACACAGGATGTCCATGGAATGGAAAACCAGAACAAGAAAGCAGCATCAGTAGACTACCAAGGTCTACACAGGATGTACAGGGCCTAACAATTTCACCAGTTCCCTTTCATCACGGCATGCCTATTCCACAGTTCTGAAAGATTTAACTGCTTATACATTCCAAAACACATAACTCAGTGCTCTTCCATCTCTCCATCTGCACCCTTCCACTTCGGTATCCAAGAACACCACCTTCTCTTCCTATGGTTAATTCTTAGATCACCTTCAAGCTTCTGATCAAAAGCAAAACGCATTATTGTGTGACGTAAGAGTTCCTCTGGGTACCCAAACCCACATCCCTGAACTCCACATTGAAGACTGAAATGCTTCTTCAGGCCTAGTTTTCACAAAGGTAGTGGCTTTGCTATTTCAACCTTTTTTTTTTTTAAATTCATGTGTCTAACACTGAGAAAACACTCAAAAACAGCTCTGATAAGATTAAATACCTTTTCTCTTTAAAGATATTTTATTTATTATTTTTTATGTGCACTGGTGTTTTGTCTGAATGTGTGTCTGTGTGACTGTGTCAGTTTCCCGGGAACAGGAGTTACAGACAGTAGTGAGCTGCCATGTAGGTGCTGGGAATTTAATTCGGGTTCTCTCGAAGACCAGTGCTCTTAACCACTGAGCCATCTCTCTAGCCACATTCTTTCTAATAACACTTTTCCAGTTTGATACAAACCTGTCTCCCCAGTATAGTTCTTAAAAGAAATCCTGTGAGCCAGGCAGTGGTGGCGCATGCCTTTAATCCCAGCACTTGGGAGGCAGAGGCAGGTGGATTTCTGAGTTCGAGGCCAGCCTAGTCTACAGAGTGAGTTCCAGGACAGCCAGGGCTATACAGAGAAACTCTGTCTGGAAAAACAAAAACAAAAACAAAAACAAAAACAAAACAAAACAAAAAAATCCTGTGAACCACCCCCTAGATCAAAGCTTAAGTTTGGGTAAGTCCTCTTTCCTAGCCAGAGTACTTAAGACCCAGTATGAGACATACGGCATTTTAAGATGTCATAAAACGACCACCGCCATCATATTGTTTCTAGCTGGGCTTGGGGGCCTGATAGCAGCGGCTGCTATTTGTAAATTCTTAGCAAAGCTGTCCCCGAAAGCTCTAATCTCACCCAAAAGCTCCGTCCGGCTGGCGGCCATTTCCACTCAAAAACCACAGAAAGACTAGCCCGACAGTGGTGCTAATGGGATTCACCTTCTCCAGGGAAGCTCCTCATCTTCCAGTTCGTTCTCTGTCACCGACCCCTCAATCATTGTCTCATCACTGTCAGAGTCTGAGGCCTGGGCACCTTTCTCCATCTTCGGCCCTCACTCAAGAGTTATTACTCTTCCTCTTGTTCCCTCTTATCGGCAAGCAAAAGGACGCTTCGTGGGAAGGGGGGAACTGAGAATTTAAAATAAAATTAAAAAAAAAAAAACTAACAAAAGGAAGGCCTCTCTCGGCGCTGAGGACGCCAAAACCTGCACAGGATATGCAGCATGGTGGTCGAGGCGCGGGCTACCCAGCTCGCGCCACCAGAGCACAGCCGCGCCACACGTCAGGGCTGCGCGCGCAATCCCAGGAACCCGCCAGGCCCAGGGGCCCAGGCCCCGCCCCCAGTGAGCCGAGGCCCCGCCCCTGGTACCAGGCCCTGCCCCTAGCTCCTGACGCTCTTCCCTGGCTATCCGGCTCCCCCTCCCTACTCAGGATATATAAAGGCCATGAAGGTAGCCTTATGAGTCTGGTTTGCTCTGAGATTCTGGTATACCAGGGTGTGGTCGGACCCCCAAAGCTGGTTTGCTGCATTTTGCTAATACTCCTGGTTCGATTATCTTTTGGCTTTTTAAGTCAAGGTGTCACAGAGTTCCCTAGGCTGGCCTTCGTGTCCCTTCCTTCATGTTACCTTCCTGCATGTCTTTATGACAAGAAGTTCAAGTCCCTGAAGAAAGAAATCGAAAAAGATCTCAGAAAATGGAAAGATCTCCCATGCTCATAGATTGGAAGGATTAATATAGTAAAAATGGCCATCTTGCCAAAAGCAATCTACAGATTCAATGCAATCCCCATCAAAATTCCAACTCATTTCTTCATAGAGTTAGAAAGAGCAATTTGCAAATAACATTTGCAGTAACAAAAAACCCAGGATAGCAAAAACCATTCTCAACAATAAAAGAACTTCTGGGGGAATCACCATCCCTGACCTCAAGCTGTACTACAGAGCAATAGTGATAAAAACTGCATGGTATTGGCACAGAGACAGGCAGGAAGATCAATGGAATAGAATTGAAGACCCAGAAATGAACCCACACACCCATGGTCACTTGACCTTTGACAAAGAAGCCAAAGCCATCCAGTGGAAAAAAAGACAGCATTTTCAACAAATGTTGCCAGTTCAACCCAAGGTCAGCTTGTAGAAGAATGCAAATTGATCCATTTTTATCTCATAGTACAAAGCTCAAGTCTATGTGGATCAAGGACCTTCACATAAAACCAGATACACAGAAACTAATAAAAGAGAACGTTGGGAAGAGTCTCCAACACATGGGCACAGGAGAAAAGTTCCTGAACAGAACATCAATGGCTTATGCTTTAAGATCAAGAATTGACAAATGGGACTTAATAAAATAGCAAAGTTTGTGTAAGTCAAAGGACACTGTCAATAGGACAAAACGACAACCAACAGATTGGGAAAAGATCTTTACCAATCCTACATCTGATAGAGAGCTAATATCCAATATATACAAAGAACTCAAGAAATTAGATTCCAGACAACCAAATAACCCTATTAAAAATGGGGTGCAGAGCTAAATAAAGAATTCTCAACTGAGAAAATTTGAATGGTCAAAAAGCACCTAAAGAAATCTTCAACATCCTTAGTCATTAGGAAAATGCAAATCAAAGAGATTCCACCTCTCATCAGTCAGAAAGGCTAAGACCAAAAACTCAGGTGATAGCAGATGCTGGCAAAGATGTGAAGAAAGAACACTCCTCCATTGTTGGTGGGATTGTAAGGTGGTACAATCACTATGGAAAGCAGTCTGGTGATCCCTCAGAAAACTGGGCATAGTATTACCTGAGGACCCAGCTATACCACTCCTGAGTATATACCCAAAAGGTGCTCCAACACATAACAAGGACATATGCTCCACTACGTTCATAGCAGCCTTATTTATAATAGCCAGAAGCTGGAAAGAACCCAGATGTCCTTCAACAGAAGAATGGATCCACACAACCTGGTATACTTACACAATGGAGTATTACTCAGCTACTAAAAACAATTAATTCATGAAATTCTTAGGCAAATGGATGGAACTAGAATGTATCATCCTGAGTGAGGTAATCCAATCACAAAAGAACACTCACGGTATGCATTCATTGATAAGTGGATATTAGCCCCAAAGTCACAATACCTAAAATACAATACACAGATCACATGAAGCTCAAGAAAAAGGAAGATCCAAGTGTGGGTGCTTCATTTCTTCTTAGAGGGAGTAATAAAATACTTATGGGAGCAAGTAAGGAGACAAAGTATGGAGCAGAGACTGGAGGAGGGATGGTCTGGAGACTGCCCCACCTGAGGATCACATGAGCCTTGTCTAAATAAAGGAGAAGGAAGAAAAAAGTAAAACTAATAAAAATAAATAACATAATAAAATCATAAAATGTAATGATCTCTGGACCAATAAGATTGTCAAACGGGCAACCTTCAGTATATAACTAAATCAACCGTGTAAATATATTTAAATTAATATAATTGTGTGTTTAGTGATACAGGGAAAGAAACAAAACCAAAAGAGCTTAATGATTAGTTTGTTGCCAGGCAATGCAATGCAATGTTTTTTGTTTTTTTTTTTTTTAAATAGTACAGTCATGTGTCGCCCAAGGACAGATAGTACTGAGAATGTTCTGCTAGGAGATTGTTTCATCACTTTGCAAACATCATAGAATGTCCTTGCACAATCTGAGATGACACAAGTCAGTCTTTGCATATGGGCTCTTGATGCAATGAAGGCTGAGCAATCAGCAGATGGAAGTGGTGTCTGGCTGTCAGAGAGGTTACCGGCAGTTCTTGGTACTCCTTTGCATGAAGGTGCATGGGGCTCTGTCTTCATGAGATAATGGCGTTGACTCTGTGTTTTTTTCTAAGGGAACCAAATATATTAGATTAGAGTCCTACCTCCTTTAGGCCTCCTTATAACCACAACAAGAGGAAACACTCTGCTTCCCAAAGAGATTTCATCTGAAGTGCTGGGAAGAACACTAAGCAAGCCATCAGATTGCTCCTTGTTTTAACATGGAAGCACTTAAGCCAAAGTCATGAAGATGCTATTTTCTCAATCTCAGCGCTCAGGAGGCAGAGGCTGGCAGATGTCTGTGAGATTGAGAATAGTCCGATCTACACAGTGAAGCACTGTCTCAAAAAGAAAATGTGCATTAACAGATACTATCCTAGACATTCATGTTCACTCACCTGTCATCTGTTGACTCAAGCAGGGCAACTTGTAGACCAAGAGGATCCTTCTGTGTGGATGCATTATACAGATATGCCATTTTGTGACTTTATATTTTCTATTTTTGCTGCACTTATCTATGTTTAGGAACATAAAATGCATTGCTTAAAGTAGTCAATACTATCACGCACTATACAGGTTTAGGGTCTTGACATATACTGTGGCATAAAAATCTAGGTTTTAGTACAGACACTGATATTCGTAGAAGGATGAAATAATCTGCAGGTGCTTTTCTTAGTCTGTATCTCCATCATTAAGTGATGTATGGACTGCCTATTGTGGTACAGGCACTAAAAGTCATAAGGTCAAAACCGGTTCTCAGTGCTCCTAGCAAAGAGTAATGTGAGGTTTTTCTTTTTTCGTTTTAATGGAAGGTCAAAGTTGAAACCTAGTTAATCAGCTACAGGCTAGTTTCATGAGTTAAGATCAAACAGTCAATCAATGTTGGCTGGCCTTGACTGGGACAGATAAAACACAAGGCATGCAATTATGATGACTACAAACCCAACTAATGTAGGCATGATGGCTGATTAGTCATCCTTCCCCCAACATTCGATTTACCTACTGGTTTTCTTTGTGCCTGGACTGCTTCAGCCTTCCATCTTGTACACATTCCCTCTAAAGTAATGCCAGTGTTGCTGGATGGTGGAACACCCCATCGTCCTCTCAGAGAATTGAGATGTCTTATTTCCAGGTTCTCTTCACTCTCATAATTAAACGCAGCCTCTGACCAGTAGTGGTGAGTGGGAAGGACAGAGAAAGAAAGGCAGGAAAGGCCATGCTGTGGTGCCAGTTTGTGTCAACTGTTAGATTTAAAAGGCATTTCAATAACAAATGTAATAGCATAAAGTCAATTCTACATATATTCCTTAAAGTCTATAAACTTATAATTAAGTAAATCATATTAAAGAGGATTGCAATGTGTACAAAAGCTCACTTATTTTTAGTTCTTTTTACACATTTTACTTTATAGTAGAAATAAGGAAACAAGAGGTCATAATGTATAGAATACATCGGCTATATAAATCATATATAACGTATACTATGACAGACTCTTCTAGTGCTGCAGATCTTAGATTTCTCCCTCACAAGGACTCTGTGCTTGGCCAAATTTCAACCAGGCTTCTCAACTCTAGCTCTAGAGGGCATTCCCTTCAAACCTGTAGCTTTTGCAAAGGTCGCTGATAAATCAGCATAGCAAAAAAGTCTCCAACCCTTAGTACCTGACCACTCTCACTGCATCTAGTTCCTCTTTTTCCATCTCCCTACAGATATGTCCTATCACACTGTCCTATATATATTCAGAAAGAATCCTATTGGGCCTATTGTGTCATCATCGTTGTCGTCATCATCATTGTCATCATCATCACCACCACCATCATCATCATCATCTCCCTTACTCGTACTATTTTAGCCCTTAATAACATTCCATTCACTGAGTCCCCACACCTGGCTATCAATTCCCACTGTCCATGCTAAATGCTTATCTGAGCCCAGTTTCTGTTCTCCACTATCAGAACCTGGTACAAAGACTCTGGTACCTATCGGAGGGAGAAAAAAAAAGTCTTCATTGAATAATCTCGTAGCAAGTGTGATTAATATATTTTTTTTAAAACACAGTCCACCTCCACATGGAGACAACTGGCAATCCAACATTACCAATGAATTTCTGAGTACTTTTATCCCGAGGCATCTGTATACCCCTGGGATCTGTCATGATTTTCAGGTTGATTCTCTCATAAGTGGTCTTGTAAGTATTTTGGAGGTTTGACTCACCACTGGTCAATATTGTGGTGACATATACTTCT